GTGCAGCTCAGGGTTTAATGGTTGACCTTATAGGTACTTCCAGCTCCCCAGAGACCTAGTGCACCTGGGTTGTTTAGAAATTCTGATCTTGGCCTGAATCTTTTCATCAAACTGTACCCCATGCAATTCTGCATTCCTGACCGGTCTCCTCTGAGTGGTCCTGCGCTGATTGGGGGGCAGATTGGCTGTCCTTGCTGTGTCCTAGTGTTCTCTTAGTGGGCCCGTTTCTCCCTCTGCCCATGTTCCAAACACTTCCCATGGGATGGGCCTTGGGCTGGTTCCTTGTGATGACTCACCAGCCTCTGAATGGCTCCCCTTTTTCAGCTGTTCTGACTCCTCACTCCTGCATGGGTTCACAGGAACCCTATTAGTGGTCTTGCTGTCTTGGGGTCACCAAGATCCTCTTCTCCCCTGCCACTTCCAAGTGACTCCATCTGAAGGGCACAGCTGTGGCTTCTGCCGGCTCCTGCTCCATGTACTCAGCAGTTCCAGCCTTAAAGCAGCCACGTCCTGAAACACTTTGAGCAATTTTTTCTTTCTCTCATTGTGGCTTCTCCCCCTTCATGAACTCCATAGGTCTCTCATGCTCTTCCCCTGAGTTCCAGCAGCCTCAGCTTGGCTATTGTTACATTTTTATAGTTGTAAATTGATTGATTTGTGGGAGAGAGTGACGCTGGGGACTGTCTATTCTGCCATCTTGACTGTAACTCCTATTGTCATTATTCTTGAATAGCTTACCTCTGTAATTAGCCTCTTCAAAACCAAAAGTGTCACTGCAAATTGTGCATTTATCAGAAATTAATCCAGGAATTTTGATCCTTGTGGATAAACTGTTGTGCTTAGTTTTCTAATTTGGGTGAAAAAAAAAAGGAAAAGAGCTTCAGTAGCCTTCATGTTGCAGTAGCATTTTTTTTTTTTTTNTTTTATGTTTATTATGTGCATGCTACATAATAGCTACTTATTAAATAGTTTTTGAATTAGTGAATGAAATGAGAGCACTTTCAATCATATTTAATTTAAATTTTCCATAATCCTGTGAGGTGGGAGTTAACCCTATTTTAACATGAGAAAACAAGACTTGAGAGGTTGAGTAGCTTGCCCAAGATCCTGTAGTTAATTTACATAGGAACCTGTTTTTCCTGAATTCCTAAATTCTCTGCTTTTTCTACTCTTATTTTTTTAAGTCCTGTATAATTTGGTCCTTTGTTTCTGTATTTGTAGGGGCATGTTAATGGTATCTTAATTTAGAAAACACTATAATGTTTTCAGTCATGCAGATGGTAACTTTAACCGTAGTTCTTCATGTATCTTTTACATGTCATTACTCTGAGTATTTTTTAAAGCAAATGCAGACATAATTGTTTCACCTGTAAATACCTTAGTATGCATCCCTGTTTAAAATGCTTAAACAGGAGATATCATTGCAATGCTACGTCACACAAGATTAACCTCATACCATAATATCTAATACCCAGTCCACATTCAGATTTCCCCAGTTAATGGGGGAAAAAGTCTTTGTGTAGTTGGTTATTTGAATCGAGATCCAGGTAAAGTTTAACTTTGCATTTGACTATGTCTCTTATGTTCTTATGATCTAGGGCAGTAATCTACCCTCCTTTAAAAAAAAAAAGTCATTTGTTTAAAGGTCATTTGTTTTGTAGAATATCCCATATTCTGAATTTGTCTGATTGCTTTTTTTCTTTCTTTTTTTATATTGAAAAATAATTGATTATACAGACTTTTGGGGTACAGAGTTGAATATTAATACCTGTGTACAATGTGTGATGATCAAATCAGGAGAATTAGATAGCATGTTCATACAAAATATAATCATTCCTTGTGTCCATTAACCACTTTGGCTGATTGCTTTCTCATAGTATCATTTGCTGTATTTTGCTGTTGTTCATATTTCTTGTAAAGTTATAGTTAGGTTTTGAAGTTAGAGTTTGAGGCTTAATTAGATTCAGGTTCTGTGTGAATACTTCACAGGAGGTGCTTTGTGTTTCTTGTTGTATCACATCAGGAAGCAGGAGGCATTCTGGTTATCTCTCTTTTCTGGTAAGATTGATCAGGGTTCAGATGTTGTCAGCCTGATGTGTCCATTAAAAAATTCCTCATTGGCCTCTCACCTGATGATTTTAGCAGTCATTGAGGATAATTGCCTAGGTCCCTTACTTCATTCTAATCATTTCTTCTGCATTTGTTAGCTAGAATTCTTAAAAAGAACTTTCCTTCATCAAATATTTGGCTCCCTGAAATATAGTTTATATAAGAAGAGAAGGACAAATGATGGACTGTTTGCCTTTATTTATTATTTGTGTTTTAACTTATACTGTCATGTATTTGCATTATTGTCATGTCATTTGGTCAGCTACACTAGGAGACCTTCAGTTTGTTCTGATATAGCATGAATAAATTCACTCTTTCCACCTCATTTTATACCTGTATGTCCCCCCCCCCTTTTTTGGAGGGGGGCAGCTGGCCAGTATAGGACTCGAACCCTGGACCTTTGTTGTTTTCTCTTCTGAAATCCATTTTNTTTTTTTTTTTTTTTATCAGATCTTGTTTTGAAGTTTTGAAACGGGGAATCTGTTTTATTCTGTAGTATTTATACTGCTTTATGAAGGGTTATGTGTAACTTCTTAACATTTTGTACTTTTTATTATTAAAATTGACTTCTTTAAAAATATGTTTCACTTTTAATAAAGACAAAAAGTACATCCAATTTAAAACCTGCTCTAGCTGCAGTTTTTGCAACTGCCAGTAGATGGCAGTATAAGTTCATGAAAAAATATTTGCCTCCATAAAGTGAACAACTTGTGTATTGAATTTCTAAGCCTGGAAAAAATTTCTTTCTTTTTTTTTTTTTTGTCCTTTTTGAGACTGGAAAAAATTTCTTAAGTTTTAAATATTCTAAGCGAGATTGGTGAGGGGGTCGTAGTGGGCTAATGTCTGTTATGTTTAATTTTGCTTTATAGTAAAATTTTCTGCAACGTTCTTGTCAGTACTCAAAATCAAATTGTGTATTGGAATTAACTAGAGGGCTTGTTAAAAATGGGTTGTACAGAATCAGTTTCTGATTGTCAGTCTGGGGCGTGGTCCAGAAATTTGCATCTTTAACAAGTTACCAGGTGATGCTAATTCTAATACTTACGATGTTAATCTGAGAATCACACTTTCAGAACCACAGTTTTTAAATTAAATAATCTTTGTTTTAAAAAAAAAAACAAAGAATATACTTATTTTTTATTACTCCAATCTCTTTGGTCATATTTTCTTTGAGTATGTTGTGTCTATTTATACATGTTTTAATGAAGTCATAGTGTGTGCGCAATTTTTTTTACATCTTGTTTTTTTTCTCTTACACATTTTCCCCATTGTTATTTCCCCATTGCCTGTCTGTCTTAACTCTACTAATTATGCCACATGATGCAACATCATGTCAGAAAGATATCATGTAGGCCTAAGAAGTGTTTTAATTTGGCCTTTTTCTTTTTTTCTTTTTTGACTGTTATCAATGGGATAAGTTGGTAGGAAAACCTTTAATTGTATTAAGTAGAGATTCCGACTTTCTGCCCTTTACCAGGGTTGCTAACAATAATAAGCAAAACAAAGTCATTTTGTTATACTTGTACTTTTCAAACCTTTGGTCATTTCACTTGAATTTTTTATAAGTGACGTTTTAGAAAATCTGAATATTTATGTGATGGTTTACAACTTCACAATATAACAGCAGGAGGCACAAGGCAAATAACTGTTAATAATAAATTATACAGATGTGTTTATTGGCCAAAAAAAAAAGTTTTGTAGTAACTAGTGATAATCTGTCCTTCAGAACCTCAAACTATTTACTGAGATGAGAAATTATGAGGTTCTGTTTTACTGTTTATAAAGGCAGCAGTGTATTTTTTGTTTTTTCTCACTTTCCCCTTTACACAGTGAAATGTTTATATTGGGAGGTGGAGAAGGAAGCAGGTATAGTATTTACTTAACTTGTAGTTCTGAAATAAACTGTATATTGTTTTCCAAGTCTAATCCACAATAAGTAAAAATACCTTCAATAAAATATTTTTAAATTAAAAACATGTTTTTTTTTAAACAGGTTTCTATAATCCAGGAACTTGTTACTAATTATGAAGACTCTCTTAAAACATGTGACTTTTTTAGCCCTTATGGTAAGTTTAAATTAGATTGAATTGGAATTCGATTACTCATTTCAATCCCTTTTTAGTCACTTTTATGTTTATTATGTGCATGCTACATAATAGCTACTTATTAAATAGTTTTTGAATTAGTGAATGAAATGAGAGCACTTTCAATCATATTTAATTTAAATTTTCCATAATCCTGTGAGGTGGGAGTTAACCCTATTTTAACATGAGAAAACAAGACTTGAGAGGTTGAGTAGCTTGCCCAAGATCCTGTAGTTAATTTACATAGGAACCTGTTTTTCCTGAATTCCTAAATTCTCTGCTTTTTCTACTCTTATTTTTTTAAGTCCTGTATAATTTGGTCCTTTGTTTCTGTATTTGTAGGGGCATGTTAATGGTATCTTAATTTAGAAAACACTATAATGTTTTCAGTCATGCAGATGGTAACTTTAACCGTAGTTCTTCATGTATGTTTTACATGTCGTTACTCTGAGTATTTTTTAAAGCAAAT